ATGTGAATGCTTTTGTTTTGGCACAATACAAAGTGTCTATATTGCAGTATCATAGGCAAACTTATGACTAGTTAGGATTTATTATTTTAAGATTAAGATTAGTATTTCTGGGTTTATAGTCAGTGGGTGAGTGAGTGTAATTGTGAACCACCAGGTGGTTATCATGTAGTTAGTTGTCGGGGTGGATCAGGGTGATAAGATGTCTTCTAACTGTAGTTTTGAAAGTGATGAATGTGTCTGCAGTTCTAGAGTTTTCAGGTAGGGTGTTCCAGATTTTAGGTCCTTTGAAATACATTGAATTTTTGTAAAGGTTTAGTCGAACACTGGGAATGTCATAGAGATGTTTGTGTCTGGTGTTATGCCTGTGGATCCTGTCACAACTATCAAGAAAGCATTTTAGGTCAAGGTTAATATTAGAATTTAAGGTCCTGTAGATATAGATTGCACAGTAGTAAGTGTGGATGTTCTGATCAGGGAGTAAGTTTAGATCTATTATGAGTGGGGGGGTGTGTTGCCAGGAATGGGATTTAGTGATTATTCTTACTGTGGCTTTTTGTTGGGTTATTATTGGCTTTAGGTGTGTTGCAGCAGTTGAACCCCAAGCACAGATAGCATAGGTGAGGTATGGATATATAAGTGAATGGTATAGTGTGAGAAGTGCAGTTTGCAGCACGTAGTATCGTATCTTGGAGAGGATCCCCACCGTTTTGGATACTTTTTTTGTTATGTGTTGGATATGGGTGCTGAAATTTAGGTTGTTGTCGAGGTATAGGCCAAGGAATTTGCCCTCATTATGTCTGGCAATTAGAGTGTTGTCGATCTTAATGTTAAGTTGCGCAACACCTGCTCTGCTACCAAACATAATATAGTAGGTTTTGCCAGTGTTAAGTGTAAGTTTATTGGCTGTCATCCAAGTCGATATTTTGAGCAGCTCCTCGTTAACAATGGTGTTGAGGGTGGCAAGATTAGGGTGGGAGATGACATAAGTCGTGTCATCAGCAAAGAGAATGGGTTTCAGGTGTTTGGATATGTTTGGAAGATCGTTGATGTAAATGAGGAAGAGTAGGGGTCCAAGGACACTTCCCTGTGGAACTCCAGTATCAAATGGCTGTATTGATGAGGCTGTGTCTTTAATGGTGACATACTGATACCTATTAGAAAGGTAGAATTTATAATATGCAAGCGCATGGCCTCTTATACCATAGTGGTCAAGTTTGTGGAGTAGGATGCCATGGTCTACTGTGTCAAACGCTTTTCTTAGGTCAATAAAAATTCCTAGCTTGGAAAGACAGCTCATTGCCTGCACAGCCGCCCCTGCAGACGAGGTCTTGAGAAGCTGTCGAAGATCACTTCTTAATGGGCTGAAATGAATTATATTATGTAAGATTAAATTACCCCTAGGGGGTGTTATGTCAGCATATTTCATTCACTGATGGCTGACTTACGTACTTGTGTGGACTCGAAAGTCCGCACCTCACTGCTGACTATAGGTTGATTACAAACTCCTTGCGAGACAAGATCTGTGCAGTCCCCCGTACTACAAGAAATAAGTAACCCACCTTGCTCTTGTAGCGTGAGCTATGGTGTTCTTCACACCTTCGACAGGTATCGGTGACTTAATAGAAGCTAAAGTGTCCTTGGATGACCACGTCTTCCATATTCTAGGAATACGCACACTGGTACACTATGTTCCACAAGATTTGTCTTTATTGTTCACAATCTTATCACTAAAGAAACTGATCACACTTCTCTGTAAGTGTTTATTGTGTTTTGTGAGACACTTTGTTTACACTAACGCATGGATCAGTGTTCTTTGTTGGTTATCCTGGTGTCAGTGTGACTCTCAGTAGAGACAAAAGTAATCTGAAGACGCCACAGCCTCATACACCGTCACTGCCCCTAGGGCATAAAGGAAAAGCTCACCTAGTACTTTTGCTTCCTTGCCACTTCCTCCATGAAGCAAAGCAGAATGCTTGAATCTTGCTGTCTTAAGCATAGACAACAATGTCCACTATCTTTGCCATGGTAATAAAGTGGGAGCAGGATTTTCCTTAATTGTCCTGCTAAGGTAAGAGATGGACTGTCTTTTATTAAAATACACTTTGCAACACTGGACTTTTGCAAGGAGCGTCGGTCGCTTGACCACGTCGCATACTCGTACTGCATCTGGGATCAATTACTTGCTGTAGCAGTAAACAAGATGCTTGCCCCTTCTGAGAGGGCTGGGTCCCTCAGGGCTGAAAGGGGCTGATACCCTCCTGGAGGAAATTTCCTCACAAAGTGTGGAGAAATTTTCTCCAGGAGGGGGGTATCAGCCCCTTCAGCCCCTTTCAGCCCCTTTCAGCCCCTTTCAGCCCCTTTCAGCCCCTTTCAGCCCTGAGGGGCCCAGCCCTCTCAGAAGGGGCAAGCATCTTGTTTACTGCTACAGCAAGTAATTGATCCCAGATGCAGTACGAGTATGCGACGTGGTCAAGCGACCGACGCTCCTTGCAAAGTCCAGTATTGCAAAGTGTATTTTAATAAAAGACAGGCCATCTCTTACCTTAGCAGGACAATTAAGGAAAATCCTGCTCCCACTTTATTACCATGGTAAAGATAGTGTACATTGTTGTCTATGCTTAAGACAGCAAGATTCAAGCATTCTGCTTTGCTTCGTGGAGGAAGTGGCAAGGAAGCAAAAGTACTAGGTCAGCTTTTCCTTTATATGCTAGGGGCAGTGATGGTGTAGGACGCTGTGACGTCTTCAGATTACTTTTGTCTCTACTGAGAGTCACACCGACGCCAGGATAACCAGCAAAGAACACTTATCCATGCGTTAGTTGAGGAAATTAAAAATGTATCAGGGTATATGACAAATTCTAATCATACAGTAGAGCGGAAATGTAATATGAAGGACGTGGGAGTGATAATTTCAGAGTACCTTGCCTTCAAAGACCACAACGATGTATCTACCTCATCTGCTAGGAAAATGGTAGGATGGTTAATGAGAACCTTCAAAACTAGGGATGCCAAGCCCATGATGATTCTCTTCAAATCGCTTATGCTTTCTAGGCTGGAATACTGCCCCCTTCAAGGCTGATGACATTACAGACCTGGAGAGTGTACTAAGAACTTTCACGGCACATATAAGCATAATAAGGCACCTAAATTACTGGGAATGGTTGAAGGTTCTTGATCTGTATTCCCTGGAACACAGGCGAGAGAGATACATGATAATATACACTTGGAAAGTCTTAGAGGGATTGGTACCAAACCTGTACCAAACCTGCACACGAAAATCACTCCCTATGAAAGCAAAAGACTTGGCAGGAGATACAACGTTCCCCCAATGAAAAGCAGGGGTGCAACGAGTACATGGAGAGACAACACAGTAAGTGTTCAGGGTCCAAAACTGTTCAGCTGCCTCCCAGCCTACATAAGGGGGATTACCAATAGACCCCTGGCAGTCTTTAAGAAGGCACTGAGCAGGCACCTAAAGTCAGTACCTGACCAACCGGGCTGTGGTTCATACGTCAGTTTGCATGTGGCCAGTAGTAACAGCCTGGTTGATCAGATCCTGATCCACTGTCAGGCCTGGTCTCAGACCAAGCCACGGGGAGCATTGACCCCCGAAACCCTCTCCAGGTAAACTCCAAGTATGGTTTTTTTTTCATTATACACTGCTTGCTACAGGATTTTTTATATATAGTGCACTTACCACACAGACCTATTCACTCATATCTAGGCTCGAATTTATTGGTCACAGCTTATCTGAGGGTAGCTGAGCTCATGGCTACCGACAGTAGCATCAAAACCACTTTATCTTTTATGGACATTGTACGGTATATGTGCTTTACACAATGAGAAACATTTCTTTTATTCTTTGGAACCATGCCTAGGGTTAAAAGTGAGCAGGTTATAACAATTGGAATGGCTTATGCAGCAAATAGTGCCACCAAACGGTAGTGGAAGGTTGGTGTGTTGACCCCAGAAATTTGAAATTATGCTAGCCAAAATTAGTGCCGGATTACTGATGGAACTGGATTACTGATTGCCAGATTAATGATGGCCGACCTGTATTACCCTGCTCATACTCCAACAGCTTGTCAAGTCCCTAAAATCATTCATCTCCATTCACTCCTATCTAACACACTCATGCATGCTTGCTGGAAGTCCAAGCCCCTCACTCACAAAAGCTTTACCTCCTCCCTCCGACCTTTTCAAGGATGACCCCTACCCCACCTTCCTTTCCCTTCCAAGTTATATGCTCTCCAAGTCATTCTACTTTGTTCCATTCTCTCAAAATGACCAAGCCACCTCAGCAGCCCCTCTTCAGCCTTTTGACTAATATGTTTAGCAACTCCACACCTCTTAATTTCCACACTATGAATTCTCTGCATAACATTTACACCACACATTGCCCTTAGCCATGACATCTCCATTTTCTCCAGCTGCCTCCTCGCTGCAGCATTTACAACCCAAGCTTCACACCTATATAAGAGCGTTGGTATCACTATACTCTCATACATTCCCTTCTTTGCCTCTATGGATAACGTTTTTTTGTCTCCACAGATACCTCAGTGCACCACTCACCTTTTTTCCTTCATCAATTCTATGATTAACCTCATCCTTCATAAATCCATCTGCTGACAAGCCAACTCCTAAATATCTGAAAACATTCACTTCTTCCATACTCCCTTTCTCCAATGTGATATTCAGTTTTTCTTTATCTAAATCATTTGATACTCTCATCACCTTACTCTTATCTATGTTCATTTCCAGCTTTCTAAAGGTAAAGGTCAACATATTCACAACACATACTGTAGCTGTTTTACATCAAATTTAGTGCTATAACTAGATTTCTTGAGCAAGGTTGATTTTTTCTTTTTCCTTATCATGTAATATTGCCTTGTGTACAATGAGCAACCATAGTTTATGTAAAAAATTAATTTGGATCACGTAATTGTTTTTTTGGCCTTACGAAGTGTATGTATGTCTGACTGTATTATTTGTTTATTTAGAATGTGGTCGCTCATTGAGGCTGAGTGGTCGCACGTTGCTGAGGTCTGTGTGTCTCTACTGCTTCACTTTGTCACACTTCCCTGTGGTGCTGACATATTCTGGAAACTTTGTGAAAATCACTTTAATCATCAAGATTGGAAAGTTCGCTTTCAAGCAGGTATGTAATATGAAATGTTAACTGATGTTATACTTTAATGAAGGAGGCTTAAGAACTGGTGGGTATTTACACTATGTTGAAATTCCAAAATTTTTAATTACAGAGAAAAACCTGTGTTGAATTTATGCCAGAGCTCTGGCACACCGCTGTGTTTGTGGCCATCCATTGCTACACTGAGTTCCTGCTCCACCCTTGATCCACTAGTTGTAACAAGGATGCTGTATTTGGTGGTAAAGAGCAACTTTCACACCTAGCTTCACAGCCTGCAAGGGTTGAGGATGATTACGACAATTATCATGGAGAAGGAGGAGGAGGAGAAGAACCTTGCTTGAAAGATTATTCATAGTCATGTTAATCCTGATTTCAGGAATAAAATGACACTTGAATCACTCAGTGAGGAAGGCCTCAGTCATTCATGCTGTGGGGTTAGATTCCCAAGTAATAGGTAGCGTGCTTTTGTCTCGACTTTTTAAAGCACGAGGATTCTTTGAGCAATAAATAAGCTTGGGCTTTTACTAAAAATCATCTAATGGATTACTTGCTGATGTAAGTTCTGGATGGCATTTTCTTTCAGTGTAATGCTGTTTCTTCAGTATTAAACACTTCAGGTTTAACCACCCTCAGAAATAATTTTTACATGATCACATAGGAACTTCTGTTGCAGAATGGTTACCAGAGGCACTTTTCCCAGCTGAATTTCATGTTATGTAACCTACTGATCACTTTATATACTGGTTAATCTATCGAGAACTATATGTACTCCTAATTTCAGGCTTTTCATCTTCCTCACACTCTGTTTAATAGTATGACAGCTTTTTCCCCAGATGATAAGGACATGAAGTGGAACACCTTTCTTTGTTTTCTTCTTAATTCACACTTAGTGTTCTCAGTCTTTTCTAGATGTAATAGGATTCAGTATTCCCTATTCTATTCACTGTGTCACACTGAGGATTACTTATTGCACAAGCTTTTATCTTCATCTTATTGTCTCATATTAAACAAATTGTTGATTCCCTGGCACCAGACTCAGATGCTGTCTCCACGACCCATGCACCACCCTTTTCAGTAACCTCTATTTTATTTGACATAGGCATAATTTCTCATGTGAAAGTGTTTTCTTTCCATATTTTATTCTTGACCTTGGTACATTATATAAATGATCCTATTTTAAATTCTTGAGTTTTTTTGGTCATCCATTTTTTTCACCTCCATCTTGATATTCTATTTAATCTTTCCTTCATGGGAGGGAGGGTGGGGTGTCTTGATATAAATGAAGGGCTCTTGATCCAAAGAATTGTAGCTACCCTCTTTTTCCTTGGATCAAGAATTATTACTTCCTCTTCCTATTTCCCAAGCTCTTCATGGTGTTTATTGTTTTAGCACTTCTCCATTAATTTATAACATTGATATTCAATCCTTAGTTCAAATCTACATTGTGTTTTTCATAGTTATTTATATACAAACATTTATATTTTCAGTGGAAAAAGTGGTGGTCATTGGTAGGTTTTTAGGGGTATCTGCTGTTCGCCAGTGTCCAGGACTCCAGGCAGCTATTGCACATGCATTCTGCTTCCTCATCGCCTCACTAGATGACATTAATGTGGCAGTAGCTCAACGAGCCTCCCTCTACCTCACTACCTTACCTGATGCTGGTCTCCGTGCTCTCTGTTGGTGTCTTGAACAACAGGTAATTACAATTTTTTTTTTTTTTTAACAAGTCGGCCGTCTCCCACTGAGGCAGGGTGACCCAAAAAGAAAGAAAATCCCCCCCAAAAAAATACTTTCATCATCATTCAACACTTTCACCTCACTCACACATAATCACTGTTTTTGCAGAGGTGTTCAGAACACAACAGTTTAGAAGCATATACGTATAAAGATTACACAACATATCAGTCCAATCTGCTAATATCCCAAAACCCCTCCTTTAGAGTGCAGGCATTGTACTTCCCATTTCCAGGACTCAAGTCTGGCTATATAAAAATAACTGGTTTCCCTGAATCCCTTCACTAAATATTACCCTGCTCACACTCCAACAGATCGTCAGGTCCCAAATACCATTCGTCTCCATTCACTCCTATCGAACACGCTCATGCACGCCTGCTGGAAGTCCAAGCCCCTCGCCCACAAAACCTCCCTCACCCTTTCCTTCCAACCTTTTTGAGGATGACCCCTACCCCGCCTTCCTTCCCCTACAGATTTAAATGCTCTCCATGTCATTCTACTTTGATCCATTCTCTCTAAATGACCAAACCACCTCAACAACCCCTCTTCAGCTCTCTGACTAATACTTTTATTAACTCCACACCTTCTAATTTCCACACTCCGAATTTTCTGCATAATATTTACACCACACATTGCCCTTAGACAGGACATCTCCACTACCTCCAACCGCCTCCTCGCTGCTGCATCCACACCCCAAGCTTCACACCCATATAAGAGTGTTGGTACTACTATACTTTCATACATTCCCTTCTTTGTCTCCATAGATAACGTTTTTTGTCTCCACATATACCTCAACGCACCACTCACCTTTTTTCCCTCATCAATTCTATGATTAACCTCCTCCTTCATAAATCCATCCGCCGACACGTCAGCTCCCAAGTACATATCTGAAAACATTCACTTCTTCCATACTCCTCCCCAATTTGATATTCAATTTTTCTTTATCTAAATCATTTGATACCCTCATCAACTTATTCTTTTCTATGTTCACTTTCAACTTTCTACCTTTACACACACTCCCAAATTCATCCACTAACCTTTGCAATTTTTCTTTAGAATCTCCCATAAGCACAGTATCATCAGTAAAAAGCAAATGTGTCAATTCCCATTTTGTATTTGATACCCCATAATTTAATCTCACCTCTCTCCCGAACACTCTAGCATTTACTTCTTTTACAACCCCATCTATAAATATATTAAACAACCATGTTGACATTACACATCCCTGTCTAAGACCTACTTTTACTGAGAAGTAGTCTCCCTCTCTTCTACACACCCTAACCTGAGCCTCATTATCCTTATAAAAACTCTGGGTACCACTGTATTTAGTGAAGAGATTCATGGAAACCGCTGATTTCTATATAGCCGGACTTGAGTACTGGAAATGGGAATTACAGTGCCTGCACTTTAAGGGAGAGGTTTGGGATATTGGCAGTTTGGAGGGATATGTTGTGTTTCTTTAAACGTATATACTTCTAAACTGCTGTATTCTGAGCACCTCTGCAAAGACATTGATTATGTGTGAGTGAAGTGAAAGTGTTGAATGATGATGGAAGTATTTTCTTTTTTGGGATTTTCTTTCATTTTGGGTCACCCTGCCTCAGTGGGAGATGGCTGACTTGTTGAAAAAAAAGAAAGAAAATGTTATGTGAATTTATATTGCATTCTGTTATTCCTGGCTTTGTGTGAACCTTCTCTTCCTTAGGTTATAACTATAGCCCTTGTTCTTACTCTTAATGGTAATAGGTAATTTATCTTATCTATTTTATCGAATTCTTATATAAAGGGTAGTGGACGAGTTTGCGAGGGTGTGTAAAGGTAGAAAATTGAAAGTGAACATAGATAAGAGTAAGGTGATGAGGGTATCAAATGATTTAGAGAAAGAAAAATTGGATATCACATTGGAGAGAGGGAGTATGGAAGAAGTGAATGTTTTCAGATATTTGGGAGTTGACTTGTCAGCAGATGGGTTTATGAAGGTTGAGGTTAATCAAAGAATTGATGAAGGAAAAAAGGTGATTGGTGAGTTGAGGTATTTGTGGAGACAAAAAATGATATCCATGAAGGCAAAGAAGGGAATGTACGAAAGTATAGTAGTACCAACACTCCTATATGGGTGCGAAGCTTGGGTTGTAAATGCTGCAGCAAGGAGGTGGCTGGAGGCAGTGGAGATGTCCTGTCTAAGGGCAATGTGTGGTGTAAATATTATGCAGAGAGTTTGAGTGTGGAAATTACGAGGTATGGAGTTACTGAAAGTATTAGTCAGAGGGCTAAAGAGGGGTTGTTGAGGTGGTTTGGTCATTTAGAGAGAATGGATCAAAGTAGAATGACTTGGAAAACGTATAAATCTGTAGGGGAAGGAAGGCGGGGTAGGGGTCGTCCTCAAAAAGGTTGGAGGGGGGGGGTAAAGGAGGTTTTGTGGGCGAGGGGCTTGGACTTCCACCAAGCATGTGTGAGCATGTTAGATAGGATTGAATGGAGATGAATGGTTTTTGGGACCTGACGAGCTGTTGGAGTGTGAGCAGGGTAATACAGTGGTACCCTGAGTTTCAGCCATAATTTGTTCCAGAAGGCTGTTTGAGTGCCGTTACCAAACGAATTTGTTCCCATAAGGAATAATGTAAATTAGATTAGTCCTTTTCAGACCCCCAAAAATACACTTACAAAAAGCACTTACAGTAATGCCCTTACATAATTGTTCGAGTTGGGAGGTGTACGAAACTCAGGGTACCACTGTATTTAGTGAAGGGATTCAGGGAAACTGCTGATTTCTATATAGCCGGACTTGAGTACATGTATGTACTGGAAATGGGAGGTACAATGTCTGCACTTTGAAGGAGGGGTTTGGGATATTGGCTGTTTGGAGGGATATGTTATGTATCTTTATATACGTAGTGGTTCCCCAAGTTTTGAACATATTTCATTCCAGAATGCTGTTTGAGTGCCAATACCGAATGAATTTGTTCCCATAAGGAATAATATAAATTAGATTAGTCTGTTTCAGACCCACAAAAATACACTTACAAACGCATTTACACAAATACACTTACATAATTGTTCGAGTTGGGAGCAGTTTGAAACTCGGGGTACCACTGTATATGCTTCTAAACTGTTGTATCTGGGCGCCTCTGCAAAGACAGTGGTTATGTATGAGTGAGGTGAAAGTGTTGAATGATGATGAAAGTATTTTCTTTTTGGGGATTTTCTTTATTTTTGGGTCACCCTACCTCGGTGGGAGACGGCCAACTTGTTGAAAAAAATAAATACAGTATGTTATTATATTTCCTCTTGTCTTCCTGTCATTCAGTAAGAGCAGATCTAATGTTTTCAATCTTTTTTAATAACTCTTATTTTCTAAGCGTGGTCACTGTACCTCCATTGTGTGCATACTATTTTATGAGTACACACATCAGTGTTGTGTATGTATGCATATTTGATCATTTACTCATTGAATCGTGTGTAGAAATTGGACTGTTACGGATGTCAATAGTAAGAATTTCCCGATTTCAGTTTGACAGTGTAATAATGGATAGACCCATGATTATTCAAGCCCTGCATCAGCTAAGCTCGCGCCTTCCTGATCGCCGTATACTGTCATGGGAATTCTTCTTCAATCGTTTTGATGCACTTTACCTTGAGGCCCAGATTGCTCTTGAGAAGTATGGAGACATAGCTTTCCCAAGAGGTTTGTAAATTAATATTTTAATCTTAAGTCAGATTATGCAAACCAAATTTGCTGATGCATTTTTTGTAATTTTATGAAACCTCTTTACAGGGAATGATGAAATATTGTTTAATGAATACTGAATTTTAAAATTTGTTATTGCTGTTACATTGATTTGCCTGATATATTAAATACAAAAACAGTGATTATGTGTGAGTGAGGTGAAAGTGTTGAATGATGATGAAAGTATTTTTCTTTTTGGGGATTTTCTTTCTTTTTTGGGTCACCCTGCCTTGGTGGGAGACGGCCGACTTGTTGAAAAAAAAAATTAAATACAATTTCATATATATATGTAGGTATGTGTGATGTATTTTGTGCACCTTTTAAAAAGAAAGGTGTGACTTTTATGTATTCATCATTACAATAAGATCACAAGAGGTGATATCTAAATGTGCAGTATAACTGTAGTGAAAAATAGCAGTATCTCAAGTGCTTTTATGATATGTCACATTATCAGGGAATAGTCAAAATTATAAAGGAACAAAGGTCTTATATAGCAGGGATGTTACCTAACATTTACATTCATCATTGTTATATAATTTGATTTTTTTTTGAGGGGCAGTTGAACATTTGTGATTTGAATTATTATACCAGGTGTTGTTAGTGTGTTGCTCTGTACAAAACAAAAGTAATTTGTCTCCTAATCTGATGTTTTCTCTTTAGTTTAAAGCTAATGAGTATAACAAAATGAAAACATTTTCTCTTATAGAGCTGGTGTTGTGTTGCAGTCAGTATATTAAGATCAGGTGTGTTGCATGGCTTATTTTACACACAAAAAACTGGTAGTTTCTCAGTGTAATAAGAAGAGAGGTTCCCACTAGGGGCTTTATCAGTCTTAGTACAAAGACATGAAAATGGGGATTTATATATACTGGAATCCAGGGAGATCAAAATTATGAGGTAATAGTAGTGACTACTACTATTCTACTTCATTAAATAATGAGGACTTTACTATTATTTGGCTTCTAGTGTATAGAGTCTCATTACACTCATAAAATACAAAGTATCATAAGAACTTATATCATGCTAATTTATTAACCTTAAACAGATTTGAAGAATTCGGACATGACAAGTGATGTGTTTGAAAGGAAGCTAAGTCGAGCAAAGGATGCCTTAACGCTAGTACAGAGTGCTAGCGTACGCACTCTCTCTGGATCTTTAGGTACAAAGTGGCCATACAAGCGTACAATGTCAGCTCCAGCCAACATGTTTAATCGCACTGTCGAGAAACAACAAGGTAATCCTGGTTTTCCACTTTATTGAAATAATATATAGTACATATATATACTTGTTTAATGTTAGGTGATGATAGAATTTGATAGCCCTAGATAAGTGTTTTTACAAATAGAAGAAAACTTATTTGTATGGCTAAGCATTCTTTAAGATTTTTAACTGTTGAAACTTTATTGTTAAATTTGCTATCAAGTCATTAGTCAAAGGAGATTTTAAATTTATATACTGGTACATTAGGGTCCCAACTACAAACAAGATGTGCTCCAGAAAATTGCTTGCAACTTGAGTGTTTGGTACTCTGAGCCTATTTTAACATAGACACCCATGTTATAATCCAAGATGAATTCCTGAATCAAAATCATCTATATCTAATTTAAATGTTTTAAAAAGAAAAGAAATTAAAGACAAAATACGGTACTCAGATGAAGTATTCTCTCTTTTCCTCCTTTCCATTCTCTCTAGCTCCCATTACCTAACCTCTTTCTCTCTCTGGCTCATTCTCTACTTATCTAGCATTTGTTCATTCTTACACTCTTATTTACTCCCACCTTCTGTTGCATCTGATACAGTGCTCTTTGCACATGCTCACCATCCCCATACTGTTATAGTTGACTGTGTGGTGTTGGAGCAGTGTGATGAAAGTTTAGATATAGGCCGTGCTGTAACAGCTGGACAGGAACTGAATACACACTAATTGAATATCTTAATTATTATATTGACAGCTCTTGACCAATCCCTGCCAAACAAACATGAGCCTAAAACACACCAGCCATTTCCCACCGAGGCAGGGTGACCTAAAAAGAAAAAAATGAAGTTTTTCTTTTCAGATTTGGTGATTATACAGAAGAGGCTACTAGCTCCTTGCTCTTGGCATTTTAGAGTTGCATCTTATGACTTGCATGGTTTATGGAGGAAGGATTCTAACCCACTTCCCCATGTGAAATGAAAACAAAATATCAGTGCATATTGTGCAAAAATGAGGGGAATTTTAAGCATTTATAATTCATTTTTGACATTTATTTTTTTTTTTTTTTATTATCACACCGGCCGATTCCCACCAAGGCAGGGTGGCCCGAAAAAGAAAAACTTTCACCATCATTCACTCCATCACTGTCTTGCCAGAAGGGTGCTTTACACTACAGTTTTTAAACTGCAACATTAACACCCCTCCTTCAGAGTGCAGGCACTGTACTTCCCATCTCCAGAACTCAAGTCCGGCCTGCCGGTTTCCCTGAATCCCTTCATAAATGTTACTTTGCTCACACTCCAACAGCACGTCAAGTATTAAAAACCATTTGTCTCCATTCACTCCTATCAAACACGCTCACGCATGCCTGCTGGAAGTCCAAGCCCCTCGCACACAAAACCTCCTTTACCCCCTCCCTCCAACCCTTCCTAGGCCGACCCCTACCCCGCCTTCCTTCCACTACAGACTGATACACTCTTGAAGTCATTCTGTTTCGCTCCATTCTCTCTACATGTCCGAACCACCTCAACAACCCTTCCTCAGCCCTCTGGACAACAGTTTTGGTAATCCCGCACCTCCTCCTAACTTCCAAACTACGAATTCTCTGCATTATATTCACACCACACATTGCCCTCAGACATGACATCTCCACTGCCTCCAGCCTTCTCCTCGCTGCAACATTCATCACCCACGCTTCACACCCATATAAGAGCGTTGGTAAAACTATACTCTCATACATTCCCCTCTTTGCCTCCAAGGACAAAGTTCTTTGTCTCCACAGACTCCTAAGTGCACCACTCACTCTTTTTCCCTCATCAATTCTATGATTCACCTCATCTTTCATAGACCCATCCGCTGACACGTCCACTCCCAAATATCTGAATACGTTCACCTCCTCCATACTCTCTCCCTCCAATCTGATATTAAATCTTTCATCACCTAATCTTTTTGTTATCCTCATAACCTTACTCTTTCCTGTATTCACCTTTAATTTTCTTCTTTTGCACACCCTACCAAATTCATCCACCAATCTCTGCAACTTCTCTTCAGAATCTCCCAAGAGCACAGTGTCATCAGCAAAGAGCAGCTGTGACAACTCCCACTTTGTGTGTGATTCTTTATCTTTTAACTCCACGCCTCTTGCCAAGACCCTCGCATTTACTTCTCTTACAACCCCATCTATAAATATATTAAACAACCACGGTGACATCACACATCCTTGTCTAAGGCCTACTTTTACTGGGAAAAAATTTCCCTCTTTCCTACATACTCTAACTTGAGCCTCACTATCCTCGTAAAAACTCTTCACTGCTTTCAGTAACCTACCTCCTACACCATACACTTGCAACATCTGCCACATTGCCCCCCTATCCACCCTGTCATACGCCTTTTCCAAATCCATAAATGCCACAAAGACCTCTTTAGCCTTATCTAAATACTGTTCACTTATATGTTTCACTGTAAACACCTGGTCCACACACCCCCTACCTTTCCTAAAGCCTCCTTGTTCATCTGCTATCCTATTCTCCGTCTTACTCTTAATTCTTTCAATTATAACTCTACCATACACTTTACCAGGTACACTCAACAGACTTATCCCCCTATAATTTTTGCACTCTCTTTTATCCCCTTTGCCTTTATACAAAGGAACTATGCATGCTCTCTGCCAATCCCTAGGTACCTTACCCTCTTCCATACATTTATTAAATAATTGCACCAACCACTCCAAAACTATATCCCCACCTGCTTTTAACATTTCTATCTTTATCCCATCAATCCCGGCTGCCTTACCCCCTTTCATTTTACCTACTGCCTCACGAACTTCCCCCACACTCACAACTGGCTCTTCCTCACTCCTACAAGATGTTATTCCTCCTTGCCCTATACACGAAATCACAGCTTCCCTATCTTCATCAACATTTAACAATTCCTCAAAATATTCCTTCCATCTTCCCAATACCTCTAACTCTCCATTTAATAACTCTCCTCTCCTATTTTTAACTGACAAATCAATTTGTTCTCTAGGCTTTCTTAACTTGTTAATCTCACTCCAAAACTTTTTCTTATTTTCAACAAAATTTGTTGATAACATCTCACCCACTCTCTCATTTGCTCTCTTTTTACATTGCTTCACCACTCTCTTAACCTCTCTCTTTTTCTCCATATACTCTTCCCTCCTTGCATCACTTCTACTTTGTAAAAACTTCTCATATGCTAACTTTTTCTCCCTTACTACTCTCTTTACATCATCATTCCACCAATCGCTCCTCTTCCCTCCTGCACCCACTTTCCTGTAACCACAAACTTCTGCTGAACACTCTAACACTACATTTTTAAACCTACCCCATACCTCTTCGACCCCATTGCCTATGCTCTCATTAGCCCATCTATCCTCCAATAGCTGTTTATATCTTACCCTAACTGCCTCCTCTTTTAGTTTATAAACCTTCACCTCTCTCTTCCCTGATGCTTCTATTCTCCTTGTATCCCATCTACCTTTTACTCTCAGTGTAGCTACAACTAGAAAGTGATCTGATATATCTGTGGCATAACTATAAATAATATATATCTGATATATCTGTTGACATAACTATAAATAATAAATTTACAGTTCATTACCAATCTTTACCAAACAAATATAGACCCTTCACATTGTGTAAAACAAATATTGACAACATATGAATGCATTTGGTAAACAATAAAGGATATTTTTTTTTACAATAATAACTGTTTTTCAGTGTTTGTTCCATAGTGCCCAGTTTGTAAGTTGGGGCCCATATCTTTCAATAGTGTACGGAATATATAAATTTATTTAGTACCAGAATAGATTTAAAAGAATTTAAGTTACTAAATTTAAACTCAGTTAAAACTATTAATACGTAGTTTCATTCCTAGCTTCTAAGCAGGTACTTTATTAAAATTGACATTTAAATAAAGTAAGTTTCAAATTTTTCCTATAAAATATAATAAAATGTGTGAAAATTCTCATCATACACAAAAACCTTCAAAATTTTAGCTGGCATCACTCCACTCAGTACACACATGCTCATGTTGTTTTAATGTAACATCTTCCTCTCTTTTATGTAGAGAGTGAGGTTCAGGGTTTGTAGGAAGGAAGTGGATTGTTGTGCAAGAAGACTTGGACAGTGATGTGTGCTGTCACTATTGTGGTTTAGTGTATTTATAGATGGAGTTATGAAAGAAGTAAGCACTAAGGCTTTGGGAAGGGGTTTGTGAATGAAAGATGTTGGATCTGACATAAAATGAGAGTTATCACAGTTGCTCTTTGCTGATGATATAGTTCTTTTAGGGAATTATGAAGGCAAATTACAAAGATTGGTGGATGACTTTGGAAGGGTATGCTAAAGAAGGAAATTAAAAGTGTATGTAGAAAAGAGCAAGAGGATGAGGGCAACATTAAGTCATGGCATTGACATTAAATATCAGATTAAGGGAGAGAGTATGGAAGAAGTGGATGTATTTATGTATTAGAGAGTGGATATGTCAGCAGATGAGTCTATGAAAGATGAGGTGAATCATTGAATAGATGAGGGAAAAAGGTGGGTGGTGTGTTGAAGTATATATGGATAGTAAAAAGCATGTCTATAGAGGCAAAAAAAGGGAATGTACCAGGGTATATTGGTCCCAACAGTTTTATATGGGTGTGAGACATGGGTTTTGAAAGCTGCAGCAAAAAGGAGCCTAGAGGCAGTGGAAATGTCATGTATGAGAGCAGTGTGTGGTGTGAATATCATGCAGAGAATTTGGAGCATACAAATTAAAATGCAGTGTGGGTTGACTAAGGATGTAATTCAGCGAGCTGAGGAATTGCTGGGGTGGCTTAGGCATGTAGAGAGGATGGACAAGGATAGGTTGGCAAAAAGGGTGTATAAGTGTGTGGTGGAAGATATAAGGTTGTCCCAGGAATGGTTGAGGGAGGGAGGGTACAAGAGACTGAGTTTTAGTTGCTTGAGCATCCAGCAGATTTGTGTGTGTTAGATTAGAATGAATGAAGGTGAGTGGTTTTAATGGATATG